GAAGGATCCTGTAAAATGCTGCATTTTCCCTCGATCGTTCTAAATAAACGATTATTTTTACAAATCATCTGTTACCACAATGGCAAATCAGGCAAACTGATCGGCAACTGTTTAAGGCATTATTTTAACGATTTCGATTTTCTAAGAGTTTTTATTAAACCAGTTTCGTACAAGGTGCATTATACTTACGTACAGCTGTTTCAGAAGAGGGTTTCATAGCGCAACGTGCGTCATCGAAATTTTTGAAGGGGCATATTTTGCCATTTTTTATTTTTTGAGGGGGAGACATTTTGGAGTGGTTATGAATTTTCAAAATGAAAAGTTTCATGCGAAGGGACAAGGGGGGAGGGACATGGATCAGACCTCAGAGGTTGTAATTGTATATGATCTGCAATTTTTCTAATTCAACCTTCGCTTGCTCTGTGTTTAAGAAGAGTGAGTAATAAAGTACCTTGAGAGTTGAGGGAGGAGGATTATAGGTTCTTGCGCCAAAGACGTTGGGTGGATTGGGATCTATGCTTATGTATAAAAACTCATAACAAATTCCAATAGTTCGATGACGAAATTTTTACATCAATAACGGATTCAAGAAGTTCCATATTTGTTTCAATTAGTGATCTGAACCAAATACTTCAACATCACAATATCTATTATTTTTAAATTGTATTTATATTTATATTTTTTAATTACAGCGGATTACTTAATGAAAATGAGTAATTACGACTACAGAAAAACTTAAACTTTATATCCCTAAAAGCATTATTGTTTGTGAAATAATTGTTTCTATTTGGCCCGTGCGAATAATTCGCAGAAAATTTGTTTAGTGAAGAAATATAAAAACAGTATGGAAATAAATAGTTTCTATGTATTGTGTAAGGAAGTAATTAATATATTTTCTCTTGGTCGATTACAATATTCCGTTTAACATAGTAAATCAAAATATTTGTACAAATTGCTTTGATAGTACATATTTTTAAACGCGAATCCAGTCGGAAAGATAATAAAGACAAAATAATGCCCCGATCATTGGATTTTCTAAATTATTAAAAAAAATAAAATAAAATGTAAGAACAAACAAATACCTTTAAGAAATAATGAAGTTAATATATCAGTCAGAAAAATAAGTGTAGTAGACTATTCTACTCCTAAATGCAACATCTTTAAAGAGGAATACAATATTAAGGATACCAGAATTAATGGACTGTATCTTTGTTTATAATTGTCCGATTTTCATGATTTTTGTTTGTTTTGTAGATAATTTAGTACTCTTTATAATTATTATGGATACAATCCAGAACAAATTTTTGAGTTATTCGCAAATAAAGTTTCTTTTCCTTTTTAACTTTTTCCGCAGCAATTTCGGGAGATTAGGACTATTTTTCGCATGCGAAGGAGAAGAATATCTTTAAACTGAGTGATCAATCATTGGATTTGATGAAGAGTTTGTAATCATAAGAATTTTAATACTTGTAAGAATTTTTGTAATCATATTATATTGTTCATTTTACAATAGTTATGCAGATTATATTAACAACCAATCATAATTTGTATACTTAAGATAAACTTCCGAATCTTTTTTTTTTTTTTTTTTTTTTTTTTTAAGGAAAGACGAACTAGTTATATATAAGGTGAAGATAATTCCTATATCTTAGAAATTAACTTTTATACCACAATAATGATTTAGAATGCTTTTTGGGATTAATTTTATCACATAAAACTCTGTGATTTATGATAAAAACTATTCAAAAATAATAATTTAACATAACATAATATAAATGTCTACATGAAGTTAGGTTTGAACCCTCAATATGATTATCACCTCGTTTGATGGATAAGAGAGAATCTTTCTAGCGATCGGAGCTAATATACCACCGTTATCCAAAGTTTACCTTCAAACTAATTCACTATTTCGTAAGAAATAGTGCTCCTAAATCGAGTGGGGAGATGTGAAACTATCTGCTTTTCCCGTACGGGTAGACCTTAGGAAGGACTGAAACATAGGTCGAAACGTCGGCAAGAAATATTTTTATATTATTTTACTGTCTTGGCAACTAAGTAATTGCTGATTTTATAAAATAGAAAGACTTGACGAGTAGATCTATGGTGATTTTCTTTGATAACCTTTTTGGTATGGTCGTTTACAACTTCATTTAGTCGGCCATGACGTCGTTTGTATTTCGGTGAAAAATCTACCACACGAAATTTTGAATGAGAACTGTCTTTGTCTTAAGGCTTACTGAAGCATTTTTTCCTTTAAAAATAAAAGAATAAAAAATAAGATTATGACGAAAACTGTGTAATCTTTTATTTCAAACAGAATTTGAATACTAAACATTTGACAATCAAAATATTTACATGAAATTATGAAGCAGGTATTAAAGATCAAACAACAATGTGAGGATCAAATTTTCTTTAAGTATATAAAGATACCATTGTTATGAAAGTCGCAAACTTGTAAAATACGCAATTATTTATTTTTCAATCCTTTGTGTGTCTCACTGTAAGCCTAACTTTCAGATACTATTTTATTTTATCTTCTGTTGGCAATACAACATAAATATTTAGAAATTAAGCATGTTTGAGCTAAATTAATTGCTAATTTTAATAACTAAAATTACTATTTAAAATTACTAATTAAAATTTTATTTTGCCAAATAACACCAGCAGGGCTAATCAATTATAATATAAATTACTTATAATATAAATTTTTTATTATAATTGGATTGTTTAATAAATAAGTTTTTTTCCTTTACATATATATATATATATATATATATATATATATATATATATATATATATATATGTACAAGCATGTATATTTGTCCGCTATAAATAATAAACATTCTGATAAGACATTTGAAAAATTAGACTCGTACAGGTAAGTAATGAAAAATAAAAATATACAGCTGTACAAGTCATAAGAATACGTAGTAAAATAAAATTAATAAGCTATGATGATCAGCTTATCTAACTGATTGCGTTCCGATTTTCAGGTAAACTTGTGAGGTTTAGTCATTATCGAATTATCCTTTTGTTTAATGTAACCGCTTTCCGAAAATTAAAACTACATGCCATAAATGTCGTTTGCAATTACGAAAAATAAATCGCAAAAACAAACTTTTCAGAAAATGTTAGTCGAATTAAGAGTAGACTACTTTTTCTGTTGACAATTCTGTGTTACTTTATCTAGATCAGGTTGCGGAGTACAGTAAAATCAGTACATACTAATATCATTGGAAGAAAAACAAATCGTTCGCGATAATGTGCCGTAATTTGTCTTCAAATAGTTTAACTATCACAAAAAAAATCGTATAACGCCATCAGAGGCGTTTCAGTTATCCCAGTTCTATATTAAATATTGACAAGTAGCAAATTAGTATATTTGAGTTACTACTCGTAATTAGTTTTGCGAGATTTTAATTTTTATTTTTCTACATTAATTTCGAAAGATATTTAGTTAAACACACGTACTTTGTTAAGTGCAGCACCAAATTCCTTTACTGTTTTTATTTTCATGACCAGCTCAAAACAATTTTATGCAAAATATCACTCATGGTTAAATTCAAAATATCAAGTGAACTATACCCTGATACCGAAATTAATGAATAGTTCTCTAAACACTTATCGTCACTGAGCGAAAAGTTGGATATGAGTATTTAAGCATACCGGTTTTTTTTAGAATAGCTATCGAAAATACGATTTTCCACCAGCTGAGATAGATGCGGATTATTATAAAATAAATACAAATATTATTTTTAAATCAGCATTTTACTGAAGGGATCTATAATGAATAATCTTAAATTATTTATTTACTTTTTTATTCGTGAGAAGTTAAGTAAGTACATAATACTTGGTATTTAATTCATCATTATATAAACATCATAATAAGTGATTTTAAAAATCTTAATTACCCCATCCGACCTAATAATGCGTTCAACATTCAAATAAAAATACATATATAAAGTAAAATTGTTTACACTATTAAAGTAAGAAATTTTAAAGCACAGTTCCAATCAAAAGTTCTTCTGTAGAATAGACAAACCAGTTACTTTTCACTAACCGTGATCGTTGCTGATTATTAATATGAGATTCAGAATTCATATGTTAAAATAATATAACAAAAAAAGAAAAGGTGTATGTCATATGTGAAACATTAAAAGATGGAAAGAAATTCTTCATAAGAACTATGCTGTAATAATTTTGTTATCGACAATTGACAAATATAGATTTTCAAAAACAACTTCTATGAAGGTATCCAGGAAACTTTCAAGCACGAGGTACAAAATAAATTTGAAATTATCAATGTTGATAAAAAAAAAAAAAAAAAAATACAAATTAGGAAGGATTTAGAGACCCATAGATCATAAATATTATGATGTTTTTTAAAGAATATTTGATAACAGGTTGAAATATTGCACATCAGAATTTCACTACGTCAATATTATTATAAGTGATTTATAATTTGTAAATTAAATTAATGTTTCGACAATCTATTAATACCTAAATTTATATGTAGGTATCGGTACAATTAGTACAAAAAGTCATATGTAACAATTTTCTATGTTTATTGTATCTGTGCTAAACATGACATTTTGTAGTCTGCAACTGTAATAAGTATTATGTTATTATGAAAAATAGCAGAGTAAATTAAACATGATATTTTAATAATAAATCATAAATAAATGATCAGTTTATCTGCTCTTCTGTAAAATAACTCAATTTTTACATACAAACATTTGTACTAACAGAAGCGATATTTTTTTTTCATATGGTATTTGGTAACGGTTACTGTAGTTACTGAAAATTACCTGCTGTACCTATTATATAAAATATTTTAATTAAATCAGCGCTATATTGTTTCTTTGTTTTCAAATAGTTGATTTCAAAATATTTGTTTGAAAAACCTTTAATGATACTTAAAGCAACCATAAAATATTTTTTAAAAAACATTTAAAATGACGTAGAGAAGTGATACATACATTTAGAGTTGTTCCTGACCTGTCGAGCAAGACGCCTGAAGACCAACTGCCTCTGAACTGGGAGAAGCCCAACATCGAGAGTGGGGGTCCCGCAAGCTTCAACACCATGACCTCTGCTTCTAATCTTGCTTTAATACAACTTTAAATAAATAATACAATTAAATAACACAAAAAAATAATCTGTTACTGTTCGCAACATCTTGAAAAATTTATATTTTCAACACATATGTTTTATTCGACAAATTAAAATTACAGAGATTATACAAATTGATAAGTTATATACAAATATCAGATATTAGTGAAAAAATGAACATTGGGCATTTAAGCTCTGTAAAGTGACATCAACAGGGATAAGACCTAAATGATATTAAAGACCACTTAATTATACAATGATATACCGAGTTTAATCAAAATCGTTAGAGACGTTTTCGAAAAAATTGTAAAAATGTGTTTCAACGTTCATATAAAGTGGCATTTCCGGTTAGCCGATTTTAACGAAAAATTTGCTGTCACATCTGGCCCATATACAAACCTTAAATACTTAATATCAGTTTCGTACAACTTTTCGTTTATGAGCTAGACTGTTAACATACACACACACACACACACACAGACAATTTTGTGAGACTTGGTTATTTCGACTCAGGGGACCTCAAAACATGTATTTTCGTTGAAAACTGAGATTCGAAAAATTTTCACGATCGCAATACTTTCATATATAGGTAAGTGAAAGTAAAAAAATCAATTTCGATTGAATTTGATTCAGTAGCAGTGTGGTAACTCTAAAATGAAACATTTTTTATTGAATACTTGATGGTTGACCTGGTATATTTTTGAGTGAAAACATGGTCCGGAGTGGCGGTCATAAAAAGAATTTTTTTTAAAAACATATTTATTGAGAGATATTATAATCTGTCACAATTAAGGACATTTATAATGGTGTTCAAAGAGCACATTCACACTATATTTACAATAAATAATAGAGAAAAATAATAATAGTAAAAGTAAATGTACATACACTATAATAAACAAAAAGAAACTAAGCTAATGATAATAACTACTCAAATACATACATGCTTCTATACAATATCTAAAAAAAAATTCAAGATCTCCGAGCCAATCCTTTCTCCCCACTCGTGGAAGGAAAGACAGGACTCTAGTAGATCCCAGCGCCCCTCAATCAGCCGCACTACTGGTATTAAAGACCAGTAGAGGCTAAGCAGAGGCGCTCTAATCATACATACATGGCTTCAGTGGAGAATCTGGCCATTGCCAAAACAACCAAATATACTATTTATTATTCACTAAAGGTCTCCTTCGAGGAGGATTGTAGGGATGGGTGGTGCTGGATAGGGATTGTGCAAGGGGATTTGGATGATAGGTAAAGTTCTGGTGAAATTTGGAGAATAAGAAAAAATAATAAAATAATAAAAAACTATTTTATTTAAAGCCAACGTTTCGATCCGACTTTGCAGGTCTTCTTCAGAGGGTTGTATTTAGTATGGAGTTTCAACAGAATCAGCAGCTTCAGAATATTTTAGTCTTTTTATGACCGCCACTCCGGACCATCTTCTTACTCAAGGAACATTAATTAGTGTAAAAAAATAATAAAAACATTAAGTAATAAATTATAGATCATAATTGGAAACATTTCACACCTCATTGCCTTATGTATCCAAAAATGCAGGCAAAGGAAAAAAACCGACCAACGTTTCTCCAATTCAGGCATCATCAGGAATAAAACCAGCAAATCGAACATCACTCCATGACATCCAAGCGCATACTCGATAAGACTACTGATGATACCTGAATTGGCGAAAGGTTGGTGGGTTTTTTTTTCCTTTGACTGCATTTTTGTTCTGTCTCTTGCTTAGTTTGTTACTAATTTCTATCAGTATTAAGTTATTTAAACCATTAAATAACTTAATACTAATTTAAATTAGTGACAAAACTAAGCAAGAGACAGAACAAAAAAAAAGAAGCGAAAATGAGTAGATTGCGTTAAGGCTGATTTGGCGGGGTTGGGTATAGACGGAGCCCGGTGGATAGATTAATGAATACATCGATTGGTGGTATCGGCATCGAACCTTCGGGTTCGCTAAGCCTTATTATTATCAAGTTATTTAAAAAAATTCAGCTTTGAATTTCTCAAATTCAATAATTCATCAACCTTTCGCCAATTTAGGCAGCACATAAATGAATACAGGAGAGTAGATTATCAAAACTCAACTTGCTGAACTGTTTTGGAGTAATTATGGCAAATGTACCAGTAATAGACGCTTTAACAGTAATTGGTAGTTCATGTATGATTATAATTGTAGTAAAAACAATTAAGAGGATGATGCCTGAACCTCAAATTATATCATGCACAATGGCAGTAGATTTATTTAATGACACAGGGCAGGGGTTTGTTTCAAGGAGGTTTGAAATTTTGATTCATTCATCTGTGGTTAGCTATTTCTTATTTTAAAACTGTGGAGAATTGATTTTGGGTTTTGTGATTACATAAAATTTTTATATCCAAAATGCCTAATAGTTATCTTTCCCTAATAAATAATTGTTTTTTCCAAAGTTTAGATTTTTGCACTGTTGTTCTGTTTTTGCTTAATGCTGTTTCAATATAATTTCAAGTTAAATGTTGTTAAATGTCAACTCTGTATCATGTTGTGCACACGGAAAATGGATTTGCGAGGTTTTCGTTACCTTCTGTCGATGTTTGATTTTTTGATATTAACCTAATTTCATCCAACTAAATCGTTGTTATTATGTCAAAAGATTGATTTAAAATATGTTTATTGTGTTTTTTTTTTTAAATTAAGAATAACAATTCTATTTTCAATTATTTTTTTTACTTTAATTTTTTATTTAAAATACTTGAACCAAGAGATTTTCTTTTGGAAATTACAAAGTATTTCAAAAGCACACACTAATTCATTTGTTCATTTTGTATTTATTTATTTATAATATTTAAAATTATTATTGGGACTAAAGTTATTAAAGGTTATTACTACTAACATATGTTTTACCAACTCGTAAACACTACTTGAAATGCTTTCAATGGCATGTACTTCTTCAAGTCTTTTCTCACAAAAGCAAGACAAAATATAGTTCCTTGAAGGTATGCGAAAAAAATTAATTAAATCTTTTTTCTGGGATAATTTGTTTTTATTACTCATGTTTATAGTTCTCGATGAAGTATCAGCCATATTGGAAATGAAAAATTAATAACGCACTAAACTTAAAATATCACTTTTTTTATATATATTATATTTACATAAGATTGTTTATAGTATATGAAAATTTTAGATATAAAATCTGCTATTGTTATTTAAATTAAACGTGATATTGTTTTTCGAAATATAATGCTCTTTTAATTTATGTTTTAATTGGGATCGAAACTACTGTATTGTAATTAATTTATTTTGGGTGTTACGGATATTTTCACTCTGTGAAGAATATCATATTCAATGCCAATTTATTCGATGAATTCATAAATAATGACCTGAATCATATATATTATTCATAAGGATTCCGACATCTTCCAGTCGTTCGTTTCTATGCTTTCCTGTGTAAATGTTGATAAAACTGTTACATATGTAATTATATTATTGTTTATTGAATTTAACGCCTTCATGCATCCTACAACAAGAAAGGCCATTCTACAACTTACAGTTATTAAATTATTAATTTCTGACGAGAGAGAGTAAATCGAGATTTATTCCTTTTTTTAATAATGGGAATGATAAGAAAAATAATGTTTTTATTTTTTTCCTGACAGGGGGCTTTCGGGCTGAAGTAATACAAAAAAAGAAAGATTATTTTTTTTATTGGTCCATATTTGTTACTATTAGTGTTCTAAGCTAAAATACTTAAACAATCACAAATATGTTCAATTTTTATAAAATTATAAAACATATACAGCTATTAAATTTAACCATGTCTCATAAAAAACTATTAAAAAATTATCTCTAAAAGTGTTATTGTTCGTGTAATTACATTTTAATATGACTTCAAGAATTATTTACACACCATTTCATATTGTAGTTAGTTTCATTATTTTTCTTTTCAAGTAATTATTGTTTTATATATCTATATATATATATATATATATATATATATATATATATATATATATATATATATATATATAATTTAATTTTGGGGGCTTCGACCTTAAAGCTTTATATATATATATATATATCAGCTGTATATATATATATATATATATATATATATATATATATATATCAGCTGTATATATATATATGCCATACAATCAGCTGATGTTAATGACTCTGTAAATTTTGTGAAAAATAAACCATATTAAGCGTTTCTTAAAACTCGAAATAAGATATAAAATACGATAAACATTTAGGAAATGGGATTATTGAGAGGGGATGAAAAGAAAATGAGAAATATCGAAATGACTGGAAAATTGATAATTGAGCAAAACAGGGGAAGCGCTTTTCATTTCAAAGGGAAATCATTTTAACGCGATCGAGCATTTCTCACAGCAATTTTCAGCAGCAACAAGAATACGAAATTTCAAATCGATAATGAATTTAAAGGTTGGGAGGGGCTTTAAATCCCGTTAAAACTGGTTACGTCTTGGGACTGGTACTGATGTTAAGCATGGAACTTGTTTGCTAAAAGAAAAGCAGCTATTTAGATATATTAAAATTACGAGAAACTCGTAGCTCAAAAAACATCAAATCACACAATGGCGCTAACAGTGATCTGAAAAATATATCCAGAAATTATTTTTAGTGAAAAAAAAATAATGATCACTATATAAGATATATATCAATATATATATATATCAAGACTATATATATATATATATATATATATATAAATTAATAACGAAGATCATATTTAATTTGATCAACGAAGTTTTTTTATTTGGTTTCCGCGTAATTGTATGATATTTTAAATAATTTTAAATATCATACAATTACGTTTCATACAGTGGGGTTTCAGCTACCCACTTTCAGCTAAGCGCGCTTCACATTCTGGATTACAAAATTGATGGAGCTCTAATCACCTCATAGCGTGGTCAGAGGACCGGTTCTTGAAATTTCCAACATAGAAACGTTTTAAAATCACCAGAAAATCTTGGAGACCTTTCAGTTATTTTATTTACTTCTTAATTTTTTGAATACCTCTAAACACGAATTGCTCAGCAATCTGATAAACTGAAGATAGAGAGTTCTCGAGTCCCGGCACAGTGAGGTTTTAACTGTTGTATT